TCAAGTATTCCTGCCATGTGAATGGAGGCTGCTTGTCACAGTAAACAACCTCTTCCAGTTACTTGCAAATGCAGCAGCCTTTTCCTGAAACCTCCCAATTTCTTTTCCCTTGGAGGGTTTTGCTGAAGGGGTACCTGAGTCAAGTCACTCAACTAAGTAAATGGGAGAGTGTGGATTTGCATGCGGGGCCATCTGTCTACAACCCATGTCTGTTTCTTTATCCCATGCAAGCTCTTCTTTCTGTGGATGCAGTTGTATGTACATCAGCTCGTAATCAGAGTCTGCTCTGTCTTATTCCTGTAATTTATAGTTTTTGAATCCAGGTTCCCTGGAAATCCCACATGTTTGTTGAATAAATGAACGCCCACCCTTTGACCTGGACAGTGCCACTTTGGCCAGCACTCTCCATTTAACCCTCCCCATGGGAAGTAGCAGTGTGAGGAGATAAGACATGTCCCCACACAGCTAGAGGTGAGTGCTAGGATCAGAGCTAGGTGCCCCAGGAGTGTGGCCTGGGGAGATGAGGGGAAGCTTCTGAGAAAGGGTGCTGGGCCTTGGACAGTTTCTGTTAGGGGCTTCTAGCCTCGAATGTGCAGGGTCAGAACCTCCTTGGAATGCTGGCAGCCCTGGTGTGAGTCTGGCCACATGGCTCTTCCTGGGGACCTTTGAGCCTCGGAAGAGGGCTTGTACAAGTGCGGAACCAGCTCTTTTTGAGAACCTGGGAGAGGGAATGTGTCTCGGCCTGGTCAGGCCTGGTGTGTCCTCTCTCTCTCCACTGAAGAACAAAGGCCCGGAGCCTGGAGGTTGTCTTAGCTTGAGCCCAATCCAGCTCAGATAAACCTGTCTCCAGCCTCTGCCAGGACCTGCTCTTGTTCCTTGCCACTCAAAATGTGGCCCATGAAGCAGCAGCGTGGGCGTCACCTGGGAACTTGTTAGAAATGCAGAATCTCAGACCTCCCTCTGGACCCACTGAGTCACAATGTGCATTAACAGGATCTCCAGGGGATTTATGTGAAAAGCACTGTCCAAGCAGCTTTTTAGGTTCTTCTGTATTTTTTCTGATTACCAAACTTTTTACTATAAAAGTAATATACAGGGGGCTTCCCTGGTGGCGCAGTGATTGAGAGTACGCTTGCCGATGCAGGGGGACACGGGTTCGAGCCTGTTCGAGCCTGTGCTCCGCAACGGGAGAGGCCACAACAGTGAGAGGCCCGTGTACCGCAAAAAAAAAAAAAAAAAAAAAAGTAATATACATTCAACAAAAGTGAATTCACTCATTATCCCATTAGCCAGAGAGAACTACCGTTAAGATTTTGCTAACTATCTCTCCAGATTTTTTTAATACTTTTTTTTTTTGCGATAGGGAACAACTATTGATACTCTTTTATAACCTTTTTACACTTAACATATAGCACTAGCAATTTCTTAAATCATTCAGTAATATTTAAGAACATGTGATTGAGAGCTGTGTAGGAACCTAGGGCATATTTGTGCCATAGTTGATCAATCCCCTATCACTGCAGTTTTTTGCTTCTGTAAATAAAGTGGCAGCAAGTCATCTATATAAATCTTTGTGTTCATCTCTTGTTTCTTTAGGCTAAATTCTAGGAGTGCAGTTCATATTTTAGGGTTTTTCCAGGAAGATCTTGACCCAGACTGAAGCGCCAGAATCCTAGACTACGAAAGCTTCCCCTTTCCGCTGTGGAGCTTGATGGCCCATGGGCAGGGCCTTTGGAAGGACATGTATGTACTTAATGAAGTACATGTCCTTCCAAAGGGCATATACTCTGGCTGGAAATTTAAGAGCAGCACCAGTATCTCTGGGCTCTGGGAGTCAAGAAACCTCCCATAAATCACCATACCTCTGGGGGGCTTTGTGGGTGAGCAGAGGTGGCGAGGCCAAGGAGAAGGCAGACACTAGCTGAGTATGCAGATGGAGGCAGACGCCTATGTTGCTGGAGAGAGAACAATGAGGTTCAAGAATGCCAAAAAGAGAAGAGATCCTTTGCTTATTTTTCCATCAAAATCTGATGAGCCTTTTCTAAAACGTTGGCTAGGAGCTTAGAAACTATACTGTCTCAGTTTTGAGTATGTAGCCATTTAAGGTAGGAAAACACCCTCTAAAGATATTTTTCAGGGACTTCCCTGGTGGTCCAGCGGTTAAGACTTCGCCTTCCAGTGCAGGGGGTGCGGGTTCGATCCGTGGTCGGGGAGCTAAGATCCCACATGCCTTGCAGCCAAAGAACCAAAACATAAAACAGAAGCCATATTGTAACAAATTCAATAAAGACTTTAAAAATGGTCCACATGAAAAAATCTTTAAAAATAACTAAATAAAGATATTTTTCAAAAGACTTTCTAAAGGTGATTAGGATAAGTATAGAAAAGAGTTTGAATCAAATGGAAAACTTTTAAAAGAAGGAATTCTAAAGGTCTTTAACTAGTTTTAGTTAAAGACCTTAATGTTTTAGTTCCATTGGCATTGCGGCAACAGGATGACACTCTGACCGCCCACTTTTTCGACTGCTTGTCCAGCTTTCGCTGCCTGAGTGTGTCTTGCTTAGGGCACACTTTGAGGAGCCATGCGGACTCTGCAGTTCAGAACTGCTCAGGAAAGAGGCTCAAAAGGGAGGCCTGGTCTCCTGCCAGAAAGAAGCGCACCCCTCATAGGAATACAGAAGTGGTGGCACACCATTTGGGAGACTTTGGTGCAGGGATTCTGCTAGAGTTCTAATGGGTCTTGACTAGCTTCATTTAAGGACATACAGATCCATCCTATATGTATTGTATTCATTATCTCCACTTATGCCCAAATTTAGTCAGTGAATGTGATGTACGAAAAAAATCCTCTACTTTCACTTTTAAAAAAAGACTTGAGGGTTGGCATAGAGCTCTCTGAAAAATTATGGACTTTTGCTCCCTTTGGTAGTAGGAAATACCTCCAACTAATGGTCCACCCGAGAAGTCCTTCCTAGGCCAGCCAGCTTGCTTGCTTTCCACCTTTCTCTTCCTCAGACCACCTAACTTCAGAGACACTCGGGAGGCACTGCATGTGGAACCCAGGATTTAGATCAGCACATTCTTCCAGCATTTGCCAAGAGCAGGATGCCACCCAATTTGGGCAAAATGGAACTCTTGATCCCCAAAAGCACTAAAATGAATATGCTGGATTTTGGAAAGATGTTCTTCTTGAGAACACAAAGAAGTAACTTTTCCTCCCACATAGCATCTTTGTGGGTTTTGAAAATAACAACCTTTCTTTGTTCTGAAGTATCTTAATAGATAAGTAAGCAGTGCTGAGTCTTTGAGGAAAAGAGAAGAATGGAAAAATGAGCTTGTTAATCCAGGAGGAATAGAAGCAGTTCGGGAAAAGGCATGAGATAGGTAAGAGTGAAGGAAGGCAGCGGGGACTGGCCTGCACCTTGGCGGGGGTGAGGGCTGGCTGGGTCTTCTAGAGCAGCCCAGAGTGGGGTCGCACTGGGCTCGCAGTCATGGAGGGTTTGATCATTTCCTAACGCTGGCCTCTTTCTTAGAATGGTTGCTTCTCTACAACCAGTTTTTACCTTTAATCAAGAGTTATATCATACAATAACATTTTCCACTAACTCAAGAGTTGGATTCCAGCCAACTTTCAAAATTGCTTTCAGATCTTCACATGTAGAAACTGAGGCACAAAGAGGTGTGGAGACTTACCAAAGGCCACATAGTTAGTTAATGGCAGAACTGGGGCTAAAGCCACAGACTGTCTCACTTCCAAACCCTCGGCACTTCTGCTGGGGCCCTGCCCTTGGCTTTGGCAGCACCCTCCCAGCAGTGCAGCCAACCTCTGGAGAGCCCAGAACACAGCTCAGTGGACTCTTGGCTATTTTATTTCTATATATATACAATATTAATATATGAGATATATAAAGTATTAATACATTATATATATACATAATATATAAATTTATATATATATGTATATATAAAATCTCCAAGTCCTTCCAACCTGCTGATGGACAGATACAGTCTGATATGGGATGAGATTCTGAAGGATAAAATTATATAATATGTATTATATAATATTATGTCTTATACGTTTATATTATATACTATTATATAATTATATTACACTATTATATATCATTGTATATCAGACTCCTGGAATAATCTTTAATGAAGTGAGATAATCCAGATAAAGGCCCGAAGACCAGCTTTGCTCACGAGCAGGACAGGCCTGCCCTGTGGCCTGGGTGCTGGGGTGTGGCCCTACCCAACCCATAGGGCTTCACTCCTGGCCAAGTCTAGTACATGTGGAAAGCAGGTGGTTAGGAGACCACTGGTAAATTGAAGCTTTGGGTTTTTCATTCTCAGTCGTGTGTTTCCATGAAAACAGGAACTGATGTGCAGAAAGCTATTGATATGGCTGTAGTCATGTGTTTGTCAGAGAAAAGTGCACTATCAGCTGTCAAATCTATCTCCTCCCACTGCAGATCGGGGGGTGGGGGTGAGATGCAGCAGGAGGAGGAAAGGTGAGATGCTCTGGTAGGAGCAGCCGGAGGCAGGGATATGTCGGCCCCTGTCCAGCAGGACGGTTCTGGACAGGCCAGAGGGGAGTTGTCAGGACAGAGCAAGATGAGGGTCTCTGGACAGCCATGCCCGGAACCGGTGGGCTGTTAGGTGACCAGGCTGCGGAAGAGGAGGGGCTCTGGCGATACCTTTTCTGTTGCCATAGGAAGTCTCTTAGACAAAATGAAAGCTCTCTCAACGTGTAATCTCAATATCTGTTTTTGTGAGAGTATTTGGCTTTTCAGAAATATATGGGCCAGAAAAATTCTCTCCTTCAACAGCATTTATTGAGTGCCTCCTATGTTCCAGGTACTCGACCTGGGTTGGGTAAAATCCTAAAGAGCTTTTCCTGGACTGGGATCTGAATTATGACTACAAAACCCAAGCTTTCTATTAAACATCTTCTAAATCAAGTGAAACCAGAAACACCAAAATGTATTTGAGAGTAAAGATCAGAATTCTCAGTCTTTGAAAACGTTTCACCCATTATAGTTAATTTGGGCCTGTTCCCTTTATGTTAAAAAAAATTTCTCGTTCGAACACTTGTGGATGGCTCTCCTCACCAAGTCACCCATCTGCCAAAGCAGACCCGGGACAGCTCTTACCTTTGTGGTGGCAAAGACGTCTTCTACAGGCAGCTCCATGCACAAGTTCTTGGCCCAGGCAGGAACGAGAGAGCAAGAGACAGAGTTACCTCCAACTGCACAGGGTAAGCCTTGCTGAGCAGCTCTGACTCCCTCAAACTGAGAAAACTTCCTGTGGTCCCTCAGGGTGAAAAAAGTGCCAGGAGAAAAGTCTCTACACTGCTCCCCATCCTATCACCAACCACCAACTACCAACTCTCTAGAAGCTGTTATGTTCTTTTCACAGTCTAAGAAATATGCACAGCATCACCAGAACATCTGGAGAGATGGTACCAGATAGCTTACCTTTCTTGCTGTGAGGATGTTCAGCGTTTTGATGATCTCTTGTAAGGTAATATCGCACTTGTGTCCATGGACGAAGTTGCTGGTACATGCCAGTAAGCAGACTAGCATTGGGATCAGTTGGGAGGTGAGACCCATTAATAGATCTCTATTTGCACTGACAATGTGAGACAATCAGTTTACCGGGAGAAGCTAACAATGCAATTCTGACAAAGATATCTCTATATATAGATTTAAAATTGCTGAAACTGAGGGAAAATAAGTTTACATTGGAAATTTTCATTACACTAGGTTGTCAGTCATGTGGGACCAATCAGCGCCTCTCTTCCAGGAGAAAAAATGCCTCACAAAAACAGGTAAAATGTTCCTGTGAAATCAGACCAGTAGGAAAATGAAACCTTTTTTTTAAAATTGACTACAAAGTATCAGCATAGGAAATTACACCATAATTTGCTCTTTAGGTTAGTCTTATCAGCTTGGGGTTGCTGCTGGCTTTTTGCTCTGCATAGAAGGAGGAGGCCACAGGTGTCCGAATTTGTTTCAGTGCAGCCCTCCTGGGGAAAGATAGAGTAATATCAAGAAAGTTTGACTTGATTAGTATTTCAACCTGGCTTCTTCCAAGTATGGGTGGCATCTGGGAAACTCTCCTTTTGTGGAAAAGCTGATCTGGGGTTCTTTCTCTGGGTAGAAGGAAAGTAATAGGCACAGATTCTCTCCTGTCCTAGCACTCAGGCATGCTGTTCTTCCAAATTTAGGATTTTGGCCAAGGACTTGTAATATGAGGTGGGGCTTAGTTAGGGTCACATCAGGTCCATAGGTCTTTAACAATAAGGAGGCTCTAGGCAAAGTATGCCTATCCTGACTTTTCAGGAATGACCACTTTGAGGGACTTCCCCTGGCGGTCCAGTGACTAAGACTCAGCACTTCCACTGCAGGGGGCGAGGGTTCGATCCCTGGTCAGGGAACTATGATCCCACGTGCCGTGTGGCAAAATAAATAAATAAAAGATAAAAGTAACTTAAAAAAAAAGGAATGACCACTTTGAAAATGGAATTTAAATATAACCTCAGCTAATTAGGGAAAAAGAGCCATAATTTCACAGATTTACCAATCAGTTGTCCTGATCAAGGTGCCACCACTTGCCCTTGTGCTTCAGTCTAATCTCTATGGACCTGGTGACGCGCTGCACGCCCCCATTGTTCACTCAGATGCCTGCGCCCCAAAACGCGACTGCTTATTCCTCCCTGAGCCTCTCCTTCTCTTTCCTCTCCACTTCCCTTCTCTTGGTTTCTGACCTTCCTCTCCCTACTGATTTCCTCTGGAAGGTCACACAGAAAAGATGACTGCTAAGGTCGTTCCTGCGTTTTGGCTCTTATTGCAGTGATTTGTACTCCGTGAAAGAAAGGATCTGGATGGTTGTATCAAAAAGGTCCTTGGGGGCTTCCCTGGTGGCGCAGTGGTTGAGAGTCCGCCTGCCGATGCAGGGGACACGGG